TGGACATGAAAGATTATACTGAAAAACAATATTGAGTCAAAGTAGAGGCATATGCGCAGACTAAATGAACTTCTCTCTCCTCACTTAATGAACCCACAGCTACAGGTCCTCCCTGCTTTAGCCTCAGGATGCAATGAGTTTATTACCGTGTAGGACATCAGGCTTCACCCTGTGTAATTATATTGCCAGCGTCCAAGCTCTCCAAAGGGTCCACTGCACTTCATCACATCTTGAAACCCCAAAGTGCAGCTGTTAAGAATAGCTTGTAGACTGAATGGCTGGCTACCTAAGCCCGTATAAATGAGCAACTGCAGACAGGGCGATGTTGAAGTCAAAGCACTGTCTTATGTGTAAAACAATCAAGGAGAACTGTATTATTCAACTTTCTCTGTGTTTCACGTCTGCTATTGTTGCTAATCCTGTGGCATAGTTTCCAGGCCAGAGGAGAGGAGAACAAGACAGGGCTGATGTTATTCTGCACAGTATCTTTGTTTACTTGTATCTTTGTATTCTCTGATGGAAAAACTATTACTTTATACTTCAAATGCAAAAGTATATCTGCCTTATTCTGTGACCTACATTTAACCATGGTGCTGTGCATGCAGACAACTGCAGACACCACTCCACTGACTGTTTGGCTACGTTCAGACTGCAGGCTAAAGTGACCCAAATTCGATTTTTTGCTCATATGTGACTCAGATCTGATCTTTTTAAAACAGTGTGAACAGGGCAAGTCACATGGGAGGGTTAGCAAGTAAGAGCTAACCTCCGTTGCCCTGTTTACTTGTGTACAACAGCATACTGCTGCGTGTGATGTCATGTTGCTCTTCTGCGCATGCGGGTCACTTTCAGGCCGCAGACAATTCACAACGAAGTCTGATATGGGCCACATTTGAGCAATAATGTGAACTGTCAAACAAAAAAAATCTGATCTGGGAAAAAAAAAAAATAATAATAATTTGTTCTAAAGTCATTTTAATGTTATGCTGCCTTACCCACTCAAGGAACTGAATTAATATTGCATCCACTACTGCATCTCTGTCTGCGTGAGCAAATGAATGTATGTAGTTACTGTACTGTGGCCAAGTCTTTCAGTCTTTGTGTGGACTTAATCCCAGCAGTAGCTCCACCAGCTCAAACAGGACCTAGCATGTGGAGCTGAGAACACACTGCAGAAAATACAGCTCATTCCAGCCACCCAACTGCCTGCCAATCACATACCATTGTCATCGCATGATTGCATGCATGCATACAATTGCACAGCTATAGGTACAGACCAGCTATGAAACCTAGCACTACTAGACTAGAGTGAAACAAAACTTACATGTCACTGCATTCTCATAAAGAAGGCTAAAGAGACAAAGAGCAGGCCACTTATGTTTTTAAAAAAAAAATCCAGGCATGCCTAGTTTTACCTGACTTCATATCAACTTGCAGGGACTTGAATGTTATGCAGGTTGTTACTCGCCACTGGTACGATGGCAGTGCTTAGTCCTTTTTGCTTGTTCATTATAAACATAAACCCTTCAGTCAGTTAAATAATAGATCAAACTGAGCTTTGACAAACACACTAAGTAATGTCAAACCTTCCACAAAAAAAGAACAAACCAAAACAAAAAAAGTTTATTTTTAAATAGAAAGGTTTAAGCAAACATTTCAAAACTTCCCTGGTTGCAACTTTACAAATGTGCATATCTGCTGGTTTCTGCTGTCTATGAGACTATACTGAATACCTTTGGTTTAGGACTATAAGACAAAACAAACTGTCTGAACATGCAAAACTGTGCTCTTGGAAATTGTGATATTTTTCACTATTATCTGACACTTTATAGACCAAACATTTACTTATTCACTTAATATTTTCTTGATCAATCAGGTAGTTACAGCTCTAAATAAAATTATTCAGTTATGCTGACTGCTGTAGTTCACTTGTGGCCCATTAGGGGCAGTATCCCTAGCTTACTGAAGGAAACACCAAGTCAGCCGCAGCTTCCCAGACACCACTGACTGTTCACAACATAGCTCAGCCAAAGCTGGGTCTTGGAGGCTGATACCTTCATCAATAATTGAAAGTATAAGTAATCTTTGGAAAATCCCCTAAATTATAATTTAATTTTTTATTGTTACTTTAATGTGTGCTGAACAGGTTCTTTTAGAGTTAAAAAAACAAACCTGCCAGTGCTCTCTGTGTAGTGGTGACACTGTTCTATTTTCAACATAAACAACGAGGCAGATGTGCCACCAATGTGGGCGGCACCTGTGGTTTTGGAGGAACGTCAGCATCTAAATATGCGGTCTGGAAAAACATTTACGATACTGCATGCATATGATATTCAGTCATGTTGGTTACCATCTCCTGAATTTTTCGTTCCAACCTGCTCTATTCATTTGTATAATGAGCTAGGTAGATAGCAGCAGCCTGTGGTGTACGGGCAGGTAGGTTTGGAGGTAGCTGGGAGATTCAAAGCAGAAAATACCGACATGGCCGAGCGGCAACCGCTTGCTGTCTGAAAGCACTTTTTCATACTAGATACTGACATATCTGCAGTTTAGATATCCCAGCAAATTTAAATATCTGGCTCTTTAGCTGCTTTATGTCACTAACTTGCTGGTCTGTTTGCTGTCTGGTGCTGGACAGGTAGTGTATCGTGGGTTTAACAAAGTATTTTCACTGAAAACAACACATAAGCCCTAAACGAGGCTTATGTGAGTAGCAAGAGTGAAACACAACAATGACATTTCAGGCCATATAAACAAAACAATGGGGGAAAGACACAACAACACTGCATAGAGCTGAGGGGAACTGCAGACGTGGTAATTTTCTGTGGGCCGATCTAGGGCTGTCGCGATAAACGCAAAATTTAACGGTTCAAGGATGGATCGCCATGGGCTGTACATGACCCGACTTCAAACTCTGAGGCTGCAAGTGTTGCCTTGTTTTGTGTTGTTTTATTGTTTATTTTAAAGGTTAACTAATCTGGCGTTAGCATATTGCGTTGCTAATGTGGCTGGCACGCTTGGCGATGTTGGACTAACGTTGTGATCCTGAGGAACAGTCCAAAGAAACTGTGGACAGTAAGCCTCATTTGAAGCTCACTAACCAAGGAGCATAGTGTGTCGGATGTCTGCAGCTGTTTTTCATGTTGCTTTCTGTGGAAAGTAAGTTATAATGTTACTACAGTGCAGTGGTTAGTTGACAGCCATTCCGGCGCGTGTGTGCTATGTAAATTGAGTTGATAGACATGCCCTGAAGGTAATGATATAGCTACGTGTGAAAAAGACAGTCAAACTACAAAAAGGAGTTTTCTTAACAATGTTGTTGACTAGCACTCAGCAGCTAGCTTGCTCAGACCATAAAGCTGCTGCTAGCGACACAGACACTCTTACTCTGCTATATGGCACCAAATTACTTCATTGATGAAAAATGCGATAATGCCGCGCTGTTGACCCCCAACATATTATTAAAAGGGCTAAATGGGCTTTTAAAAAGTGGGCTTTTAAAAAAGGGCTCATTTATATGCCCTTTTACATTACACATAGGCATTTGACTTATTGTTAGTATAAAAATGTGGATTAGGGCAGCTTTAAGTTTGCTTTTGGATCTTTGGAGCAATGACTTCTGTAGTTAGATACATCTGATTTTTGATAGTTTGGTTTGTGGCAGACTCAAGACGCCACTGGTTCACCTTAAAACATCATACAGCTGCTTTTCAGCAATTTGTGTCAGTTTTTCACACTCCTTAACTGCCTCCATAGTAAACAGAGATAAAATATGTTTTATGTTTAAAATCAAAAAAGGATGCCCGCTTCCCTCTATGTGATCCACATACAAAAATACAGGAACATCTTGCTCTTTGTTTTATGAAATGATCAACGACAAACAAGTAAGACGTCTTTCATCCCGTTTCTCTCATGGAGGATGCCTTCATGCTGCTCATCCCAAGTGCAGCAAGGTCAGCCCAGAGAGTGCTAACTCCATTAAAGACTGATCCTGCTGAGGCAGATTCAGTCTGTCCGTCACCTGCTATCCTCCTTCAACCACAACACCGATAATATCAGCAGAGCATAAAAATGTCTATTTTTGCAAAGGCGTGCTTAGACACTCATTAATCTTGCTCTGAAGAAGAGACTAACCTAATAATGGCTAAGAGGTGCAGGGAGGCGGAAGTCTCTCACATACACCTGTCACCGTCCATCTGCTGTAGAAAATTCACACCTGATCCACACTGCAGAGAGGAGACGACACGGTCTACATGCAGCATCTATGTGCACACAAGGAACCCTCATTCTGTAGAAAGCAGTGCAGATATCCATACCATAATACTTAGCTGACACCTGGACAAGGACACAGCACTTCCAATTAGCCCCTCTCTTTCTATCAGAGCACCATGTAAAGCGTTCATGCACCTTGTAATTACCAGAGCAGGGGACGTGTTTCATTTAAAACCAACACTACTGACACAGCCCTTGAGAGAAAACAAGCCTCAGACTCATTCAGACTGAGTAACGGACAGGAGAAAGTCATCAGCCATCCTCTGGCAGACTTAAAAGTTTAAATCTAATACTGTGCTTAGACCACTTCACAAGTCACAGTCACACACAAAAAAAATAAACAATAAAACAGATTGACACGAATGTTGAGTAACCTACACTTTAAGAAGAAAGGACATCTTACGCAAACACGGGACCAGGAAGCGGTGAATCATTTTGACCTTATAAGCACATCCTATTCTGATAAATCACACAGGGCAGTGGTTCCTGATGACAGGTTTTCTCGGTGCACAGTGCCCTATTAAATACAGCCTGCCAACAGCAAGGTCCTATGAAGGAAATGCAGCTCACATTATGGCCCACAAATGCAGCTGGGAGCGCAGATGCCCACAGCGGATGGCTATGTGAGAAAGTAGGGAAAGTCCACTTAAAGCTCATTTGTCTGTTCCCCTTCTTGCGGAGGCTGAATGGACATAATACTTGTACCATCAGGCTGTATGACTACTCACCCTCTTACACCTACAGTGACCCTCACTCCGTTTGTTTCTGAACCTGGAACAGATTCACTAGAGTTTAATTTCGCTTGCTCATCCATGTTTGGGACAAAAGAGACGAAGATGGAAGTGAGGCTTAGGAAGCTCCTCCCGAGAGCTGAAACCAACAACAAATAAGAACAGGATTTACAGGTTAACAAAGCTAATGCAAAAATATGCTGACAGGATTTGTTTGTTTTTTTGGGGGTGGGGATCATGTTTGACTGCCCAGAGAACAAGCTCACTAATCTAAACAGCTGCACAGCCATTTTTTAGACAGCTTAACCTCTCTATAATCTGCCTGAACTCTGGACACTTACTTCTAAACACAGACTGAGATTAGCAGCCTATCAGAGACTTATTGCAGAACTACAAAAGCTATACCACAATAAGCTGCTCAAAAATCCCATGTTTCTGTTTAAGAAGACTCAACACAAGGAGTAGAGCGCCATACATCAACACACAGAAACGAGTGCCTAAACAACTCCTCTCAGGAAGTTTATAATCTTGTGAAGACTGTTAATAACCCCGGATGTCTATGCGTTTCTCATGGAGAGCCCTGTCCTCGGAGCGCTCAGACACTCAGCCAGGAATGAGGGGCACAGCTGGTCTTGATGACTCCAGCGCTGCTGCTTTTGAAGGCTGAGCTCAGATAACTGCTGTTCTGGTCGGTTAGTGCACATCTGAAATTACACCTCCACCTTCCCTGAGTGCCCTGCCCATGCAGTCCCTCCACTCCTCTATATCTCCACATATACAGTCTGGAAGAGATCAGAAATGAAACCCTAGCTTCAGCCGACAGTTAAATTATGAGAATATTATGAGTAACTACAAAGAAGGTGAAGTGTCGACCTGTAAGTTCGGCATTGACATTTTCCGAGCATTTACTGAGCACTGAATTTTGATATACAGTAAGAGGAGGGGGGAAAATGTATGTTTAAAGAGGCTACACAATCAATACTTTTATACCAACAATGGATCAAATGACAATGTCAAAGGGGTCACCTGAACTTATAGGGGACTAATTTGCAGGAGCTTTATAGCAAGATTTAGCTAACAGTTTAGCTGTCCAGCCTGCATCTTAAGTGTTTTGGTTTACGCTCTCCTCTGTCATAGCGCCATTTTCAGTGAAGAGGCTTTAAAAACCCACTGTACACTACCGGCTCAGCACCAAATACCATACAGGCAGAGTTAGTGACTAGCCGGTGAGCATGGTGGAGCAGCTAAAGGAGCTAGATATTTCCCCCAGCAGTTAGTGGAGACTAAAAACAGCAAAAAGAGAGTGAATATTGGATTTACATCATAAGCATGACTCCAGATGAAAGATAATATTGCTCCCTATCTGCTGGATGTGTAAATAAGCAAGTTTGTTAACAAGTTCACCATGTCAACTTAAAAGGTGATTCCACAAGGTTGCAGGTTTAAACATACAGGTTCAAACATATTTAACCTCTATTTTTACCAATCAATAATAATTGATTTAGAGACATTTAAAACTATAATTTGAAGTTGTCAAATTCTAACCTCATTCTTATAATAAGCAATTTCAGCCTATGGTTTAATCAATGAAGCTGATCTGTTCTCAGCAGCCTCGAAACTGCAATAGTGCCACATTAAACTGCTGGTGAAATGATCCCCCATTGCACATCTGTTTTTCACAGACAGATAGTCTGTGCATAAAGTAAAGAAATGAAACATCCTTGAAGCATAACTCCTGCCTCTTTTGTCCTGGAATCTATTTTCTTTTTTTCTGCTGTAAGATCAAGCAGTCACACACACTCAACATCTAAACACTAACACAGGATCACAATGATCTGTGATTCTTCAGAAAATAATCGCATATTCCATATTTGTTGCTTTGCTTTTTAAATGAATTAACCTTACTGGGATTTATGTTGAACTGTCTCTTCACCTCTTGCACGTAAATCTTTTCTCTTCTCAGACTTCATCTGGTTCGAAACCACTCAGAGCAGTCAATGTTTGCCTAACTAGGTAACTGGGTTTTTACTATTACTAGTAGTACTAGTACTAGAATATCAGCATTCAAGCAATGGATAAACTGATTTTTTGAAAAGGCACTACACAATTAAACACTAACACACACTATTTAATATCAGTGTGAGTATTAATGTGACACAAAACATGATCATCCCATCAGACAGAGATATATTGCTATAGTGATGCAACTCTTAGATTTTCTTCATAAATTATAGATCTGGTGGAAAAACATGAGAAAATGTAGTCTGTATAGAAAATGGCTGGTCTGCTGAATGCTGTTTCACCATGGTAGGATAAAAGTGGAGTATTGTTAGTGCATACAAAGAAAGCAGCTCTCCGTCACACCTGTACTCTGTCTGCAGGGGGCAGAGACAAAGAGTTGCCAGTCAGTTTTTAGGTTTAATTAGACAGCTATGTGTAAAAGCAATAATGCAGATGTTTCGTGAGAGTTGCGACCCTTTCACACAGTAGTGTTGGGTGTGTAAATCAGGTTTCCATCAGCACAGTTCTAATGCATTGTTTGAGTGGATAGTAACATCTATTGTTCACTTACTTTAAAAGAAAATGTTCTGGCAAGTAAAAAATAAATAATTTAGCTTTAGTTTTACATAATACATGTCTTTTCAGTTCTGAGGGTTAAAAACATAGTCCACTCTATTTGACTTTTGTCCTTGTCACAACCTCTCAAAGGCTTTGAAATCCAGAGAGCACATAATTATTCAGCAGCTGCACACACAATCAAAATGACACTTTTCTGACGCAATGTCACTATAACCTGGAAAGAGGCTTTGTATTTTCTTCCCTGTCCTGTTTATGCTGCTCAGGAAGGGAAATACAAAGAACAGACTGGTGCCTTTGATTCCAGTGGACTACAGTTAAGTGTGAATGTGTGTGGGTATTCTTATTTTAATGAGTTTCAATGTTGCAACCTCTGCTGTTCTTGAAGGTGACGTGATCATGCATTTCGGTGACATTTAAATCAGCTGCTCAGACTGAAAAACCACCCCACTTCCTGTTACTAATAACAGACAACTCGCAGGACTTCAAAAAAGGCAACAAACACCAAAACCCCACGCACAAAAAGAAAAACACTTGCCTTGACACTTGTACGTTTTCCCTCGGCTTTTAAATACTTTAACTCCCCTCACTCGTGTGATGTGAAGTCCGATTAGGAACATCTAACTTTTGTGTTTAATTTAAAGCACTTGGTCCGAAAAGCGGAGATGGTATCTGGCTGTCACTAATTAAATGGCTCCAAACAAAGGCTTGCTACAGTTGAGAAGCAGTGCAGCTGTGAGTAGGATAGGGTATAGGTAAATAAACACATTTCAAGTAGTAGCCTGTCAATCTTTATAAAACGCACTTTTTGAGCACAAGAGCGGGTTATTTCAATCATGATGAATGAGGAACACAGACATGTCAAACACTAATGCAGGAATTTATATTATTTCTCAGTGAAGAAAGAACATATATATTATTAATAGCTTGGACATCTCCCCCTGGAGCGCTTTTCTTGGTCTGAGTTTCCTGTTTTGCATGAAGCTGTTCAACAATAACTGAGTGTTGAGGGAACAATAAACCTCTAAATGTTCTCTTCAAGTTGTAAGCAGCGCTCAGGCCTGGCTTCTGTGTGAGCTGTGAATGAACTCCGTTTCTTCTGTGAGGAGAGACCTGATTTTGTCTCTTGTTTTTCTCTCTTTTTTTTTAAAAAGGACTCAAAGGCACCATGCAGGAGAGCTCCATCATCATCAACATCATCATCATCACTGGCTGGTACACAGTGAACTCTGCTGAGTGTTTCAATAGGCTAATGCTCCTCATGTTTATTAAACCGTGTGTGTGTGTGTGTGTGTGTGTGAGAGAACCTTAAAGAGCCGAGAATAAATGAGCTGCAGTTAAATGAGCTTCCCGTTATGATCTCCGTGATCCGGTTAAGTGACGCAAACAAAGGGTTTTCTACTGGGCTTCATCTTCATCCGCGCGTTTTATGTAAAAGAATCCAAAATACTGTAACGTTTGAATCAAACACCGTGCATGCAGCCCCGCGTCCTACACAAAGCGCTCTGAAGCAGCAAATGCAGATCTGTATAGAAATGCTGCGGAAGGCGAACAAAGCCTTACCTTAAAATCTGTGTCGGTCCTCGCTGGATGCTGCTGCTGCCCGGCGGTCCATTTTTCCTCCTGTTCGCCTTGTTGCACAGCGAGCACGCGGGCTCGGTTAGCTGGTCTCTCCGTGCACAGGGAGACACTGCGCGGGGCGGAGGAGCTGTGTTGTCCGTTACACTGTTGCTGGCCTTTTTTCTCGTATCCACATCTGATTTTTGAGGGGCGGAGTCAGAGAGGTCTGATTTTTTTTCCCAGCGAGGCAACGAGGTGGCTTGCCGGCCTGGAGGAAAGGAAAGGAGGAAAGGGAGAAAGGAAAGGGAGGAAGGAAGGCTAGGCCTATTGATAACTTCCCTGCAGGTCTGTCCATTTCAAAGGGAAATAGCCTACATGTAGCCAATTAGTTTGAAAATAACCTACTGTAAAAGAGCTATATGTTGCTTTTACATTTTGTTGTTTTTGTAAGGCTTTAACAAAGAAGATCTAACTGGTTAATTAGAGATGATTACAGGTGTTGATAGGTGGATTCTGTTATTTTGTTTGGACAAAGCCAGTGTGACTGGTCTAATTAGCTAATTGGTTTGTGGGTGAAGTCTTAGCCTAGTCTATATTTAGTCTGCCTAATAAATATGAAAGTGATTTCCATCTCGTCCTCTAACTAGACAATAAAGTAAACAACTTTACCCTACTTCTCAAAATGGCATACTAATGCTTTTAGGGAAAGAAAGTCAAGTCAAGATAACTTTCCTTTATTTGTTCAGCGGTTTAAACCAGTGATTCCCTACCTATTTTGGCTTGTGACCTCTTAACACAATATGCGACAAAGTGTAATGGAAAAAGACTTGGAAAATAAAGCATGAAGATTGTGACTTAAACGGCCACTGAAGTGACAAAAGGTAGCGGCGGACAAAAACATCAGATCTGTGTGGAGCGATGACGAAACTGTGACTTTCCTCAAATTAATACATGAAACAAACATTAGGCCAATGCCATTTGTCCGCTATGTTTTCTAACATTTGACTGATGCTCTTTTAATTATGTCATCTCATTGCGCCCTCTTCTCCTGCAGTGAATTGACGACAGTCGTTCAGACTTGGCCTCAGGTGACTTCAGTGACCACAACGACTGTCTTTACAACATCACCTTGACAACATTACATTTATTCATTTTGCTGACGCTTTTATGCTAAGCGACTTACAGTTGCTATATATATGTCTGTCAAAGGCAGGTATCTTATCCATTGCGCCATCATCACCCCACAGAGGTTAAATGGCTGGGATTTCCCACAAGTCAGCCAGAACTGAGATCTCCTCAGATGAGAATCTTACATAATGTTGCTTTAATGTTGTTTCCAACTGTAAGTCATCAGTTGGTTAAGATTATCAAACAGGACGGTTTCATAACTGTGGGGCAGCTACTGAGAAAGTGAAACCTGAAATATGCAGTTTTTAGACTACATGGTCCTATAAGCAAATATCAAGACTTTACTTTCAACTGACAGGGAGCCAAAGACAGTTTGCAAGTAGTGGGGTAATATGGTCCCATTGGTCTTGTTAAAAGCTTTAGGAAATGGAAATCTACAAATCTACAATTCCATGACAATTGAGCAAACTCCATCTGATAAAGAAGATCATGTGATTTCACCAATTTAGTAGATCCAAAATAGATACTTAATGGACTTTGAGGTGGTTTTGTTTTGTCAACTGTGTCCAAGATCAAGAATAAAATAAATTAATAACCTAGATTTTGTTATCTGCTGTTAGTCCTCATGATTTTGGAAGTGATTCCAATCTTGTATTTTGAATTTTGGTGCGGAAGCTGCCTTTTGTTTTTTCCTTTTGTGCCTTTGTGTGTTACAGTAAACAGAGAAAAAAGCAGTGGAGCAAGACAGTTTAGACACTGTCACTGCTTGACTAAACATTGTTAAGGCCTATAGGTGGAGCAAAGAAACTGAAACACACATGTTGTAAAGTGTAAATGTTTTTCTGCATAGCATGTGTGTGTGTGTGTGTGTGTGTGTGTGTGTGTGTGTGTGTGTGTGTGTGTGTGCCAGAGAGAAGATAGTTTGTGTTATTGTGCTGTGCGAGGATTAGCCAGTGTAGTGCGGGTTGTGCAGTGCTCTCCTAATTGCCTCATCAGTAAATGTCAAACGTTCAAATGGCTCCGCCATCTAGATTTATTTATTCATTTGTACTCCATCAGATGCAGGCGCTGCTGCTGCATGCTGCAATTACTGCTGCATGGCCAAATGTGCCAATGAATAATAAATCACAACACAAAAGAGATCTAACCAGCTGTCTTTGAACCATGAGACCAACTAGAAAGTAAACTTGCATAGCATTTACAGTAGGATGTTCACACGGTCTATGTGGACTATATAAATATGTATATTGAACAAATAGTAAGTTTCTCTGGAAAAAAGCATTAGCAAAATAAATGTATAAATGTTGTGAAAAAAAATATCCTTACAAACAACCACATAATGTTTGAAGATGGCTGTAAAGTTTTGTAAACATGGTATCTATGATGTGATCTGTAATAAACAGATCACACGAATGATCATTGTGTTGTATACAAGTAGGCTGTAAACCTAGCCCCAGGCACCAACCTCATGAAGGCAAAATAACCACAAACATTTGCATTGATGCTCACACTGGTCCACATCTTGCTGAAAGTGCACTCTCAAC